ACACATTCTCATTACAACTAAATCAGTGAGTAAAGACCAAATCAAGATTGTGTCCAAATGTGTTGATTATTTGAATTTGGCTGGATATTGCTGCATGGAGCTAATTCATGTTTATTTGATTATTGTTGTTTGTGTAGTTTAGATATATTTCTTACCTTGATCCTCCTGTGAAACAGATTGATCAGATTGAACAGGTTGATCAGTCTCTGCTGGTGCTGTTGTCTGAGATAGGTCACTGTAGTCCTCCTCATCACTTGACATGGAATCACCTTGGGCCTCAACTAATTCATTGACAAAAAAAATAACACTTTATTGCTTATACTTAGCATCTGTGACATGATCACATACATTGTTTTTCAAATATGTACAGCAAAGATACACAGACAGTCAAAAAATACTCATACCATTTGGGTCGATTTCAATGTCATCAAGTTTCTTTCCTTTGTAGTCAGACAGTGTTCCTTTCTCCATGGCCATTAGGACTTTACTCATTTTTGCCAGCTGCAGTGTTCCCTCTGGTAACCGGTAATACTGTCTGTGGATTCTGATATCGTGACCAAGGAAATCAGCCAGTTGGTCTGCTTCATTCTCATCAAGGTTAAGAATTTTAGACATGGTTGCTATGTGTTTCCTGAGCCTAGTTGATGACAGTGCTTCAGGGTTCTTTATGCCACATTCGCAAGCAGCTTTGTTGATGCACTCTCCACCTCTGTAGGCTGACATTGCTCCACATCTGGCAAACATAAAGGGATTCTCTGCTGGAACACCACAAAGCTCCCGCGTTTCAACGAGCAGCTCCATGGCAGAAACCATGGAAGGCTTGAGGAGCACAGGAACCTTTCTGCCTCGTTTACCCCGGATCTCAACTCTTGTGAAGTGCAGACACAGCTTCCTCTCAAACTCAGACAGACAGATGGCAATATCTTCATGTAGCTCAGAAGAATCCCTGCTTTTAAAAGCTGACAAAAGCACACGGGATACCTCACCTTCTCTCCTTCGGTTGAACAGGATGACCTGGGACAGTGTGACCTTGGCTAGAGCAGAGTAGCTGTCAGCAGAAGGGCAAGTTCTGAGCTTACTTAGGAGCCCATCGTGTTTCTTTTCAAGATGTGTGTGCAGGACTTTGACATCCTGAGTGAAAGGAATGATCTGTGGTGTGTTCCACTTGGCTTCTTTCGATGTAGTTATAGCACCAGCAGAAATGTACTCATTCCACCTTGCCTGGTGTATTCTCCTGAAGTCTCGGGCACACTCAGCACGATCATGATCTCCATACATCATGGCATTGCTCTCAACAATGCTACAGATCTTGATTAAAGAATGCCCAAGTTTGAGAGCTAAAGAAGGAATGTGGTAGGAGTTTTTCTCTTCATCGTAGCCAGATAACTCTGTTTGGTCACATCAGACCCCATCCTGTTGAACATGTGCTCCCCCAGCTGCATGATGGATCTGTCAGAATGAACTACACGCGAAACTTCATAGTTCATAAAGGACAGTATTTTCTTGAAACCTTTGCTCACTTCTAAGCCGACTGGTGTGTTTAAAGCACACAGAGATCGAACTCTTTTCCGGCCCAGGGCATCATCCTCTTTAGGTTTCAGGGGACAGTTTTTGATATGTTTCCAAAGGCTACGCTTGTTATAAAGCCCTTGGCAGTAAATGCAGTGAATACATTCTTTGGCTCTTTGTCTATTTTTTGGACGGTAGCAGGCAATCATCTCCCCATGTCCTTGTCTCACCACATCTGTGTTGTGGGCAAAGTTGCCCCTTTTTCTAAGGAGGTTTAAAGAACTTTGGAAAGAGGCTTTTCCAAAGAACTTTATTCTTGTTCAAACAGATGCTGTATTAAGCGGTTCATGTAGTGCATGAAAACGTCCCTGAAATATCTGTGTATTTGGCAAATAATGCATTTATTCCACTTCAGCTGTGCTAAAGTATGCAAACACATCGTGAGCGTCACTACGGGAAGCAGAAAGTGTCAGACTCACGTCTCAGTTTTCAGCTTCTCCCGGCTGCACACGGCAATGTCCAACACAGCTGATGTAAACGATGAAAAGAGGGAGTGAATGGAAAGAGGATGAAAAGGATGAGTAAATGTAAAGGAGATAGTAGAGAGATTTTGAAGAAGGGTGGATGGAGGAAGCACAGAGGATAGTTGGACACTGAGAATCATTCCCACCTCCAAGTTATTAGATTTGTCATTGTTCTTTTTTATTTTTTTATTTTATATCTTTTTGAATTTCTGTCATTAACTGCAATGTGTACTTTCAACACAATGTTTAATACTGTTAATATTAAAGAGTCATTAAATCGGAGTGTGTATCACTAGAGTCCCCAAAGAGTCATTTAATCGGAGTGTGTGTCATTAGAGTCCCCAAAGAGTCATTTAATCGGAGTGTGTGTGTCATTAGAGTCCCCAAAGAGTCATTTAATCGGAGTGTGTGTGTCATTAAAGTCCCCAAAGAGTCATTAAATCGGAGTGTGTATCACTAGAGTCCCCAAAGAGTCATTAAATCGGAGTGTGTGTGTGTCACTAGAGTCCCCAAAGAGTCATTTAATCGGAGTGTGTGTGTCATTAGAGTCCTCAAAGAGTCATTTAATCGGAGTGTGTGTGTCATTAGAGTCCTCAAAGAGTCATTTAATCGGAGTGTGTATCACTAGAGTCCCCAAAGAGTCATTAAATCGGAGTGTGTATCACTAGAGTCCCCAAAGAGTCATTAAATCGGAGTGTGTGTGTGTCACTAGAGTCCTCAAAGAGTCATTTAATCGGAGTGTGTATCACTAGAGTCCCCAAAGAGTCATTAAATCGGAGTGTGTATCACTAGAGTCCCCAAAGAGTCATTAAATCGGAGTGTGTGTGTGTCACTAGAGTCCTCAAAGAGTCATTTAATCGGAGTGTGTGTGTCATTAGAGTCCTTAAAGAGCCATTTAATCTGAGTGTGTGTGTCATTAGAGTCCTTAAAGAGCCATTTAATCTGAGTGTGTGTGTCACTAGAGTCCTTAAAGAGCCATTTAATCTGAGTGTGTGTGTCACTAGAGTCCCCAAAGAGTCATTTAATCGGAGTGTGTGTGTCATTAGAGTCCCCAAAGAGTCATTTAATCGGAGTGTGTGTGTCATTAGAGTCCCCAAAGAGTCATTTAATCGGAGTGTGTGTGTCATTAGAGTCCCCAAAGAGTCATTTAATCGGAGTGTGTGTGTCATTAGAGTCCCCAAAGAGTCATTTAATCGGAGTGTGTGTGTCATTAGAGTCCCCAAAGAGTCATTTAATCAGAGTGTGTGTGTCATTAGAGTCCCCAAAGAGTCATTTAATCAGAGTGTGTGTGTCATTAGAGTCCTTAAAGAGCCATTTAATCTGAGTGTGTATCACTATTTTTATTTGTATAAAGTTTTTCTTTGACAGTTACTACACTTTACAGAAGAAATGCCTAATGTCATAAAGCCCCAGTGAGTAGCCAAAGATGACTCTGGTGAGGAAAACCCCTTAAGATGTTTTTGTGATGATGATTAGTTTGCAGTCGATGCTAAATTAACTAGAGGGATGCTGGCCGTGGCCAGTGAAGTGTTCTCTGCCATGAAGTGAAGTCAGTTTTATTTCTATAGCGCATTATACAATACAGATCGTTTTAAAGCAGCTTCACATACATAAAATAACTTGCAAATTTCAACAATTATGTTCATCTTTTGTTCTCTGATAGTCAATACAGTCAAATCAATAATATTTCTGAATGTTAATTGTCATTCCCCGACTGAGACAAAGGCACTTGATCTCAAGCTACAAATCAGACAAAAATGTAGACTACCCATTTACAGTGATCATGAAGAAATGAAAAACCCAGTTTACTCTCTCACACCTGTATCTCTGCACTAGCTTGATTTCAGTGTCCAGTATTGGAACTTTGAATTGTAATATTCTACTTCTGTCTTCTTAGGATAAATAATATAACATCTCAACAAAGTCCTGAAAGTATACATTAACCAGAGTTTGTGTATCACCATGGTCCTCAAAGTATGACTTAACCAGAGTTTGTGTATCACCATGGTCCTCAAAGTATGACTTAACCAGAGTTTGTGTATCACCATGGTCCTCAAAGTATGACTTAACCAGAGTTTGTGTATCACCATGGTCCTCAAAGTATGACTTGACCAGAGTTTGTGTTTAATGTCCCCAAAATGGACATAAAAAATACTGTCCCTAAAGTGAAGGCAAAATGTCAGGTCTTTAAGGAAGGCTTTTATTGATAAAATCAAGTGATAAGTGTGATGACAGCTTCTCCAGAAGTGCAGTCATGTCTTTCTTTTGTCTCTAGACCCTTCAGAAAGGGGTGTCCCTAAAGGTAGGGTTCCCAGTCATACGTCCTCACATTGTGGTTAAGTAGGTATGTGTGTGTGTGTGTGTGTGTGTGTGTGTGTGCTTGTTTATATGATATATGAGGACTCAAATTTGTATAATGACATTGGTATTACGCACTGTAAATATGGTGTATGGGGACATTTCCTGAGTCCTTATCATTAAAATGGCTCAGAAAACATACTAAACAATGTTTTATTAAAACTGCAAAAATGCAGAAAGTTTTCTTTGATGGGTAGGTTTAGGGGTAGGCTTAGTGTAGGGGGATAGAATATACAGTTTACAGTGTGTGTGTGTGTGTGTGTGTGTGTGTGTGTGTGTGTGTGTGTGTGTGTGTGTGTGTGTGTGTGTGTGTGTGTGTGTGTGTGTGTGTGTGTGTGTGTGTGTGTGTGTGTGTGTGTGTGTGTGTGTGTGTGTGTGTGTGTGTGTGTGTGTGTGTGTGTGTGCGCGCGTGCGTGTGTGTGTGTGTGTGTGTGTGTGTGTGTGTGCGTGTGTGTGTCTGTGTGTGTGTGTCTGTGTCTGTGTCTGTGTGTTGTGTCTGCATATGCATGTGATTGCTTGAGAGTTTGTCTTGTGCAGTCTACCTCAGGAAGTGGTTTACCTTTATCGACTCCGGAAACCTATGCTTTATACACAAGTAGGCTATAAGCTCTACAACTGTATAACTAGTGATTGGCACACACCATTCGCCATGAGTCAACCTTCCATGCGGTAGTTAAATATCCGAATTTCACCATGTACCCAAGGGTCATCCTAAAGGAAACACTGTACAAGAAATCACAGCAAAAGAGAAGAACTTCACCGTGCAATTACAAAGAGAGGGTTTTTGTGTTAAACACAGAGGATCTGACGTACTTCGAACATCGTCTTGGGGTATGTAGCCTATTCACACAGTTTTCTGGAGTCGTTATTGTAACTGTCAATATTTTAATGTAAAAGTTACTTTTTCACTTTTTAAAATAAGTTAAGACAATGTCTGTGATGAGATGACTATAGTGACATATTCCTTTTTATATATATTCCTTAGAAAAAGCCAACTCAAAAAGGCTGCATCGAACTGTCTCATATCAAGTGTGTGGAGATTGTACGCAGTGATGTTCCCATTCCCTGTGATTACAAGTACCCTTTCCAGGTGAGAATTAAGTGGATTGTTGCTTATATGTCATATAGAAGACAGTTCCTGTAAATATTGTCTATGTCTAGTATGTCTCTACAAGTGTTTTTCATAGAAGTCCAAAATGAACTTTTTGCATTGGTTTTTGTTTACATTACTTAAATGCTTTGTTGTTTATTCGTTTGTTAATGTTTGTTGACAGATCGCCCATGACAGTTACTATCTGTATGTGTTTGCTCCAGACAACGACTGCAGGTTAAAATGGGTCAACGCTCTGAAAGAAGGTGAGCAGCAGCTGTTACAGAAAGTGATTCACAAAGAAACAAGTGTTTTCATTGTAGAGTGAAATATTTAAACATTATATTTTGTATTTTCTGTTATTTCTTCCACTTCTAAAGCGACGCAAAATAACAACTTGTTTCTGAAGTACCATCCTGACTTCTGGGGAGAAGGGAAATGGAGGTGTTGTCATCAGGCAGAGAAGCTGGCGACGGGATGCAGTGAATACTATCCCAATGGAGGTGCAAGCTCATTTACGTTTTGCACATAAAACAGCTGCTCATTTGAAATCACTTTATTGTCATTCCACCATATATGAATTTGAATGTTGAGTATGACGACCCTGAGTCCTTTTCCATTGTTTTCATAGTTGTTTCATTTCATCCCACAGCCAAACCTCTTCCCCCAACTCCAGATCCAACGGTTTGTCATTCAATCTCTGTTTACTGTTTCTGACTTTCATGCTTATATATGTATGGCATATTTTAGACTTAATTGCCCGGTTTCACAGACAAGGCCTTGACTTTAGTCCCAAACTAAAATGCATATTTGAGCTGTCTTAACTGAAAGCAACTTGCACTGACATTTCTTAAAATATGTCAATGCCATTGTTTTGTCTCAATATGCACATCAGTAAGGTTTTTTTTAAGGCACGTTTATAAAAGCTACTTAAATGTCCTAATTGACCGTCCTAAGGCCTAATCCTGGCTTAATCTAAGCCCTGTCTGTGAAACCAGGCCAATATGTTTTATTTATCTTTACCGGTAGGTTTTAAAATTGTATCTTTAAACGTTTGCGATTATTAAAATATTTCTGTTACATTCGCTGTTGAAATGCTTATAATCAGGACAGTGTTTGAATGAGATGATGTGAATTGAGCTGTCTGTATTTATCCTCTAGCGACGATCTTCAGATCCAGAGGACAGGATTGTTGTGGCTTTGAGGAATTTCAGCCCTGTAGAAAATACAGACCTGCCTCTACATAAAGATGAAGAATATTTTATCGTTGACTGTTCTGAACCGAACTGGTGGACTGTGAGGGACAAAGACGGGTTAATATCTAATAGAATTGTTGCAGTCTCATAAGTTAGATTTAGCATAATGCCTTGTAAAAGAATCCCTCCACTGTGAATTCAGAAGTTTGACACATTACATAAACATATAAATGAATAAAAGTTTGACATTTGCCAAATGTAACAAAATGCCACTCATGAGATAGATAGATAGATCGATAGATAAACATGGTGTTTTAGTTCTATTTTATGTTTATTAACTAAAGCAATGACAACAATAGCCATTTATAGAGCACCTTTAATATAAAGCTGATTACATTTTAAATTTGCAAAAAATCCAGTTAAGAAGAACAGAATTGTGAAAAAACAAAGGAAGGAAATGTAGCAGGCTTTTAAAACATCTACAAGTAAATATTTTTGTGCTCTTTTCTCTCCTGTTACAGAAATGTTGGCTCTGTGCCGTGCGTATATATTGCGGAAAAAAAAACTAACAACATTGAGAAATTTGAGTAAGTTCCGTATGTTACAGAATAAAACTTTTTATGTAATTAAAAAAAAAAAAGGTCTTAAGTTCATAATCAAAGCTTGATTTAACGCATATTAATGCTTTGTGGTTTGATAGATGGTACAATAAGGACGTAACTCGGACAGAGGCAGAGGAGTTACTCATGAGAGAGGTAAGGCAACCAACAACAGTCAAATGACATTTTATAAAATCAGTTAATGTTTCCATGAAGTCACACGACAGTAAGCTTTAACTGTGTTAAACACTTAGTCAAAATCTGTACATCACCTCAGTACAATTTCACAGTTTTTGGGCATTGCAGAAAGTTGGGGTTCTTTGCAAACGTGCAAGAGCAACATCTGCAGACGGTGCAGGCAAAAGCGTGCAGAGTTCAAACAGCCCTTAAACCAGAATGTGGCTGCGCTGTGTTTCCTGTCATGACACTTATTTGTTATGTTTTAAATATGAGGGTAGATTCAGACATACATGTGAGGTGAAACAGTTCATGTATGTCCTAATTATTATCAGTAATAGAAACTGTTTCCATGGCAGGCCACAGCATTAGTACAACACGAACACTATACCACTTTGTCATAATGAAACAAAAATCATATTTCTATGTAGATTCATATTGGTCAGCATTTACATGAATATGAATTTATGGTTAACATTATACATTTCATTTACAGAACAAGGACGGGGGTTACATAGTCCGTGACTCTAAACATGCAGGTGTATACACCGTGTCAATATTTTCCAGAGTTTCGGGGTAAACACTTACTTTGCAATGAAGTGAATGTTATTGCAATCACTTACAAAAAAAAAAATCTTACTTTTTTGTCCAATCAATATTTGATCTTCATGTTTTTTGATGAATGTCACTGGTCTGCAGGTCTGATGGAGAGAAGTATCCACTAGTTAAGCACTACCAGATCAAAGTACAGAAAGAAGGTGAAAATGTCATGTATTTCTTAGCTGAGAAATACCTGTTCTCGAGCATTCCGGAGCTCATCCGCTATCACCAACACAATCCGGCAGGTGAGTTAAGAAAAAACTTCAGTTGCTCTTTTATTGCATTCCATTCTGTTGAATAGTGTCCATTACATGCTATAGCTACCTCTTGCTGTCAGAGGCAATGTTTTAATGTCTCTTTAATGTCTCAATGTCTCTTCAAATCTGCAAGTTGCTTTAGATTTTAATGTGAATGTTAATTCTCTCATTAAGCTGAAAAAATCTGCTTGTTTTTGTGACAGGTTTAATAACCAGATTGAGGCATTGTGTGTCTAATGTTCCAAAATCGTCAAGGATTAAGGAGTTGTCTTCAGGTAAAATTCCAGCTGTCAAGTAAAATGAATTGAATGAATTGAATTGTCGTTCATTGTTAAAATTGTTAAAATTTCATAATATGAATACAGTATCAGTACAGTATTTTTTTTTAAAGAAATTAATACTTTTAAAGAAATTAACTTTTATTCAGCAGGACACATTAAATTGATCAAAATGACAGCAAAGACATTTATAGTATCTTAAAATAATTATATTTCAAATAAATGCTGTTCCTTTGAACTTTCTATTCATTTCTATCCTGAAAAAACAATGTAGCACAGTTTCTGCGGTTTTCAACATTGATAATAATAACAAATGTTTCTTGAGCACCAAATCCGCAATGATTTCTGAAGGATCGCGACACTGAAAACTGGATGCTGAAAATATATTAGAGTTTAAAATGTGTTATTAATATTATAATATTTGTACATATAATAAGTTATAATAATACTTTTTTTTATTATTACAGTTTTTACTCTATTTTTAATCAAATCAAATAAATGTTGCCTTGGTGAGGATAAGAGACATCTTTCAAAAACATGTTTCCGACCCCAAACTTTTGAACTGTAGTGTGTGTTTATATTTATGTAAGCCTTTCTCTTTTACAGATAAATGGGAGATTCACCCTGATGAACTGATATTAAGGGAGGAACTGGGGAGCGGGCAGTTTGGTTTGGTCTTGAAGGGAAGCTGGCATGACCGTCAGGTGGCAGTTAAGACTGTCCGTGAGGGTTTCATGTCAGAGGAAGAATTTAAAGAGGAAGCACAAGTTATGATGTGAGTAACACATGCTGTATGTTTCAAAGGACATGACTATGGATGTGAAGCATTCCGTGAGAAAATGTCATGAATTTATTGCTCCCTCATTGTCTGCCTTCACAGGAAACTGTCCCACGAGAAGCTGGTCACGTTGTGTGGTGTGGTCACTCAGCGCTCACCCATCTATCTGGTATTTGAATTCATGGAGAATGGCTGCCTAACAGACTTCTTACGTGCCAAAAAAGGCTGTCTTTCCCAGGAGGTCCTGCTAGAGATGTGTTTGGATGTAAGTGAGGGGATGGCCTACCTGGAGAGCTCCAACTTCATCCACAGAGATTTGGTAGGTGTAGACAGAATGTTTAATGAGTCAATTTCTTCCTTTATTGAGACAAACTTTTGTGCATTTGTTCCAAAATCTTGCCTTTTTTAACAGGCTGCAAGAAACTGTTTGGTTTCTGACGATAATGTGGTGAAGATAGCAGATTTTGGAATGACAAGGTGAGTAGCAGTGCCTCAATATTTCAGAGATCCATGTCACTGCTCAGTGTAATGGAACATTCCCATCTGTATCGGCAGGTTTGTCCTAGATGATCAATACACCAGTTCTCATGGGTCCAAATTTCCAGTCAGGTGGTCCTCTCCAGAGGTGATCAAATTCGGGAAATACAGCAGCAAATCAGATGTGTGGTCATTTGGTGAGTCCATATTGAGCCACTAAGACTATCAGACGATCCAATATTAATCAGAAGAAAAAAAAATCTGGTAGTTGCAAATGTCGGATTTTAAATGAATCACTCACCTCTATCCTCATATCTTAGGTTATCTAAATATGCACTGACGTTCCCTTTGCAGGTGTGCTCATGTGGGAGGTGTACAGTGAGGGACGTGTGCCCTATGATAACCGTAGTAATGCAGAGGTAGTGGAGGCCCTAAATGCAAGACTACGGCTCCTGAGACCCCGTGTCTGTCCACAGAGTGTGTACGAGTTAATGCAGTGGAGCTGGAAAGAGGTGAATCCACCGCAAACATCATTAAAGCTTCCCAGTATAGCAAATGATCTCAACAAACTATCCTTGAAGTATTTAAATATTAAAGGTCCCCTGACATGAAATTTTCACTTTCTGAGGTTTTTTAACATTAATATGAGTTCCCCTAGCCTGTATATGGTCCCCCAGTGGCTAGAAATTTCAATCGGTGTAAACCGAGCGGTCAGTGTATCATCCGATCATTTGATTTCCAATTTGAAATGAAATAAAATGAGAAAACGGCACCTTTATTCTTTTTTCTTTTTTTTTTTTTTTTTCTTTTTTTTATTACGAAAAAACGAGATTTCAGCTTGATTTTTCGTTTTTTAGTTCACAGGCAAAAAACTAATACATGACTTCAAAATTCGTTTTTCACATGTGGGCGGTCATGAGACGCCCCCTTCCGCTGATTGGTCAAGTAAATCTGAGCATGTGACGTCATCAGTCGTCGCGCTCAGGTCTGTTCAACAAAATAATAGTCCTCAACGGTAATCTACCCATTAAGGATGTAATTTGTCTTTTTGAAAACCCAAACAAATATTTAGAATCTACTGTAACTTCCTTATCCTTGTGGCAAACCCTTACTTTCACAAACAAAGGTTTCTTAAGAAAATTCCTACTTTTAAAGATTTTTTATGTGAAGTAAATTATTTAATCAAATCACTAAGAATAATTGATAATAGAAAATGTACTTCTTTTTTGAAGAAATATAGAGATAGTTTATGTACCATGATTAATATCTGTTTGCTGTTTCTTTTTTTTTTCCTTTTTTTCTTTTTTGTTTAGCTCTTTCCATTTTTGTGCTATGATTGTGCACGAATGAGTTTCCTTGTACAGTCACAACTTTTCTTTTAGACAGTATAAGCTCCGTTTTGGACATGAGATGGTCATTGGAAATACTGTAATTATGGCAATCGGCTGAGTGTGGGTACCGATGATGGTGAAATAAAATTTTACTGAAACTGTAATCATAGGCGCGACCCCGCGAGAATGAGACAGATGATTGACAGGATGATAGCGGAGACAATTAAAGGGGCAAGATAACTTCTGTTAAAAAAAAGAAAAAAAGAAGTGTTTAATATAAGTGACTTTGTCTTTGTTTTATTGTTTTCAATAAAATAATAGTGAACGGTTGACCACAAACTGAGCCTTTGTTTTAAAGGGCAATTTCCAAATATATTTTATTTATTTGTTATAATATGGGTATTTTGGGTCACCTGTCTTATTAATAGTTTATTTGGTAATAAAAAGTTGGTGTTTTTTTTTTATTGTGTTTTCATTAAAAATAGGTCTATATCATAACAACTTATAAAGATCAAAATCTACAGAAGACATTAACAAATAACACTGGTGTTGTAATAAGTTAATCAGTGGGAAAATGTCCTCACCGGCATAACCCTATAGGCCTACTTAATGTTGGCTACATGTTACAGTAAATTAAATTAAGTTGGCCCAACTCAATAATTAATATTTAGAATAAAAAATTAACAAAATTGAGTTAGCCCAACTAAATTTAAATTGTTCAAAATTAAGTTGGCTCAACTCAATAGTTAATATTCAGAATTAAAAATACCTAAATTAAGTTGGCCCAACTCAATTAAATTAAGTTGGCCCAACTCAATTTAAATTGTTCAAAATTAAGCTGGCCCAACTCAATAAATAATATTTAGAATTTAAATTTTCTAAAATTAATTTGCCCAACTCAATCTAAATTGTTCAAAATTAAGTTAGCTCAACTCAATAATTAATATTTAGAATTAAAATTGTCCAAAATTGAGTTGGCCCAACTCAATAATTAATATTTAGAATTAAAATTTTCCAAAATTGAGTTGGCCCAACTCAATTTAAATTTTCCAAAATTAAGTTGACCCAACTCAATAATTAATATGTAGAATTAAAATTTTCCAAAATTAAGTTGACCCAACTCAATAATTAATATTTAGAATTAAAAATTTCTAAAAAAAATTAAGTTGGCCCAACTCAATTAAATTAAGTTGACCCAACTCAATAATTAATATTTAGAATTAAATTTTTCCAAAATTGAGTTGGCCCAACTCAATTTAAATTTTCCTAAATTAAGTTGACCCAACTCAATAATTAATATGTAGAATTAAAAAAAAAATACCAAAATTGAGTCAGCCCAACTCAATTTAAATTGTTCAAAATTAAGTTGGCTCAACTCAATAATTAATATTTAGAATTAAAATGTTCCAAAATTAAGTTGGCCCAACTCAATAATTAATATTTAGAATAAAAAAATATACCAAAATTGAGTTAGCCCAACTCAATTTAAATTTCCCAAAATTAAGTTGACCCAACTCAATAATTAATATTTAGAATGAACATTTTCCAAAATTGAGTTGGCCCAAATTGTTCAAAATGTCAAACATCTATGTCTACATAGTTTAACATCAAAATGTTAATGTCTTCTGTAGATTTTGATCTTTATAAGTTGTTCTGATAGGCCTATATTTTTAATGAAAACACAATAAAAAAAACAACAACTTTTTATTACCAAATATACTATTAATAAGACAGGTGACTCAAAATACCCATATTATAACAAATAAATAAAATATATTTGGAAATTGCCCTTTAAAACGAAGGCTCAGTTTTTGGTCAACCGTTCACTATTATTTTATTGAAAACAACAAAACAAAGACAAAGTCACTTATATTAAACACTTATTTATATTATATATACTTATTTATATTATATATAAATATTTCTGTGAAACGCGTTAAGTTGCAGAGAAGAAAGCCCAATCTAGGACCTGCCTTGTACAGTTTAAGAAGCAGTAGTAGAGGACTGTTATTATTTATTTATTTATTAATTTTTATTCCAAAAAAATTACAATAGTGCAAACACACATCTTTTAGAAATCTAAAACATTTCCAACAATGTATATATTAAACAAGTAAACTCATTCGTGCACAATCAGCACAAAAATGGAAAGAGCTAAACAAAGAAGAAGAAAAAAAAAAAAAAAGATATTAATCATTGTACATAAACTATCTCTATATTTCTTCAAAAAAGAAGCACATTTTCTATTATCAATTATTCTTAGTGATTTGATTAAATATTTTACTTCTCATAAGAAATCTTAGGAATTTTCTTAAGAAACCTTTGTTTGTGAAAGTAAGAGTTTGCCACAAGGATAAGGAAGTTACCAGTAGATTCTAAAGATTTGTTTGGGTTTTCAAAAAGACATTTGAAAACCCAAACACATTTTGACACATTTTGCCGTTTTCTCATTTCTGCTTATTTCATTTCAAATTGGAAATCAAATGATCGGATAATACACGGACCCCGAGCTTTGGCTATCTTTCTCTGCCTTTGAGAAAATGAAAGCTCAGACGGGCTGATCTTGAATCTCCTCCGTATGACCTCATACGGAGGAAAGGTAACCTCCCCTTTCTCTGCTTTGCCCGCCCAGAGAATATGGCTCGCCCATGACAAAATGAGCTAGGAAGTACGAACGTGCGAGCGCGTTTTGAGTTTTTCCTCGAGAGATATCATGGCTTGCAAACGAGCGAAGCATGGCAGTTGATCAGTGTTCGGATGTACAAATGAACACAAAAGTATTTTTTAGTTCCTTCATCCGAGCCTCTGAAGAAACAATGGGTTAATTTTATTTTCTCTGGAAATGCGCCGACACAACTTCCCAAAGTTTTGTATGGTCCAAACATTTCACCGACGACTGTTTCCTCAACTTGGGCCAATACAGAGCTGGCCTCGATGAACGTCTGAAAATAAATCGATCGAGCTACCAAGCAGCAATTTCTGATGTGTAGCCTAATTGTTCAAGTTCAGACAGGTAATCTTTCTCTCAAAATTGTTCAATACTGTTTATGCATCAGTAAGTCAAGCCAGTCAGTGACTAAAATATCAACTTCACATTGTTTCTTTTAGTAGGATGAAAATAATCTTATTTAAATTGTGAACAAATTATATACAGAAAGCGATCAAAGAACAATCTTTCCACACAGCGCGAGTTTATCTGGACAACTCATTATGAAATCAATGATGCACGTTACACTGCACAACGAAGCTCTTACTGTGTGTACATCATCGTGTTTGCATTGGTGAAAGCAGAGAGAGTGCAGAAACTGCGTTGCAAAGTTAAGATCTTCAGTCTCGCGATCAACAGACTGTCCTCTGCTTGCTCAATGTTCATCACGGCAACATTTTATGTGATGGGAATAGATCTCTAAATACTTTAAAAACTTCTCACGGTTCGTTAATTTGGATAGCTGTAATAGTAAAAACGTATAATAGCTGTAGTAAAAGTAGGCCTATTCGAGAGAGTTTCACATGTAATACGTAGCTATTTCATTTGCAAGCATGTCAGCCAATCACAGCAGTGGCCGGTTACACTGAATCCCACAGCAGACACGCCCCTTCAAACAGAGCGTTCAAATCAGAGGCTAAAATCAGGCTAGGAAAAATGCCTTTTATTTCTAAATTATGACTATTTTTGATCTAAAAAACATCAAACATTATAATGGCAACCCAGGAAACATTATAAAATAATAAAATAACCCCATGTCAGGGGACCTTTAATAAAATATAACGTCACGCGTTTTACTGAGAAATCCTGTTCTCATGAATTGGGCCCTCTGTGGAAGTTAGCCATGTTCCCGTTTTCCTTTAACATTTGTTTTTTCTTTCACAGTTTTAAAATGTGTATTATAGGGTATTTTTTACACTCAATTAATGTAAACCTTCTTATGTGTTTCTTTTGTTGCTCGTATAATTCGCAGCAGCTGTCATTTCTGTGTCCTAATCTGTTTATTCAGTTATTTGCGTATGAGTCTCGTTACTGTCATTATTGCTATGGCAACATAAACACAACAATGTTTGTTCAACAGAAACCTGAGGATCGACCGTCGTTTGCTCTGCTCCTGCATGAACTGGCCTGCCTTGAGCAGGAACCTTGATCCTGATCACACCTTTCCTTTTGAATTAATGTGAAAGTTCACTCAAAAATTAACATTTTGTGATTTGAACCACTTTTGTATCATTTCAAACCTGTATACAGTTTTTTTTTTTGAAGATATAAAAAGGTTAATTTTCAAGAATCTTTGGTCAATCATATTGACCAGATAGGCAAAAGGGCACTATAAAAGAACCATATAGAGATGGTCCATATGACTTGTGAGGTATGTTTGGGGAGTTCTGAAGCAATATGATATCTTTGTGTGAGAAAAAGATCAAAATTTAAATTATTAATAAATGTGCTCGACAGCTTGACAGATTATGAACTGTTGTTATGGAAATAAGCTGCTTCAAAAAAAATATTTAGTGTTCAACAGGTTTAGAAGTTGAACGGCATGAGTAAATATTTTATTGGGTGAATTATCCCTGTAAATGAAAATACTGTATATTGTACAAATCACATATTGTATTTATTTGTATATTTTATTTATTTTTTGTTAACTTTTTTTCATCATTTATTTCACATTATGTAACTGAATTGTATATTTCCTGTGTTTATATACATGCATTACTTCTGCAAACACAATTATGTCCCTTAGAAGGCACACATGAGCCATGTTTTTTTTTTCATCCACCAATAATAAATATTGCTTATTTGTTTATTGCTGTTGCATATTCAATCATCTTCATACTGATTCAGTCAGTGGTGCTTTCCTTGGTTTGCATAAAGTTTTGTGCACAATAAACTCATAATTTCCTAAATTATGTAAAAGTTAGTAATACTCTATTTAAACTGAATTGTCACAAATGCCTTCACTGGTTACTGTGACAACAGCACTAGAAACACTCCAGCATGCCAATGCTCACTATATGCAGCCTGGGGCCATAGGCATCAAATAAGTACATATTTATTTAATGTGCTTCTAGAATAATCTTCCAGAAGAAGTAAGACTTGCCGAAAAATAGTTTTAAGTCTAAATTAAAAACATATCTTTTTAGTCTGGCCTTCCTATAATATTTTACAATCTTTGTAATTTAATGTTATTTTATCATTTTAATAAATCCTTCATACTTTTTTAAAAAAAATCTTGTATTTTACCTGTATTTTGTATTTGCTTTTAATTTTTGTGCCTGTAAAGCACTTTGAACTGCATTCATTTGTTTGGAAAAGTGCTATATAAATAAAATTCGCTTGCTTGCTTGCTAGAGTGAAACCATTTTTTTACTCAATGAAACAGAAATGCAATCACTAAACTTCACAAGACTCACTGCTCCCATACTTTACCGTAGAGCATTCGAGCATTTGTCGTAGAGCGTAGGTTTTCAATATTTTAGATGGCACCAATCATACAATTTTAAAGCATCTTTCTTGTATAAAGACCCAATTTATACTGTGAAAAAATTATATTATAAAAATATGTCTTAAATATTATTTGGAAAATATTAATAATAATATTTAATATTATTAAGTAGTTTATATTATTACTATACTGTACTGTTAAATGTATTATTTATTTACTTACAATTTATTTAATTTATTTACTTTTTTTAATCTATGTTTTATTCATTTATTAATTTTAATCTTTATGAACATTATATATTTTTATTCTGACATTCTTTACACAGTTTTTCTCTAAACCAGGGGTTCTCATCCTTTTTGACTCGTATAGGCTCCCCGTAGTCCAAAACAAAATCTGAAGCCCCCCCACCCCCTTCATATTCGCTGATATTTCTGGTACTTCTGTGATTATGACAAAGCTGCTTGTGTTCAAACTTTTTTATTAATATATTCAATTAATTTGTTTGCTGTTGATTTAACGTATAAAATGAATTAACCACTATTTATTTTGTTATTTGCTGAGGCCCCCTAGTGGGCCCCGGACCTCTGTTTTTTCCACGGACCCCCAGCACTTTCTTGCGGCCCCCTGGGTCCACAGATCCCAGTTTGAAAACCCCTGCCGTAAAAATCTTAGTTAGATCAATTCCAGAAGGCATATATTGCCTATTAAAATCAGTGAATAGACCTATTTCTATATTATTTGGCTCTTTATAATCCTATAAACTTAAAAATTGTTCGTGACATAATATAGTAAATCGACCACAGTGACAGAGTGCTAAGTGGGTCGGAACTCAGCACTGCAGTCAATGCAAATTTATGACAATGCTCATAGAAAATTATCTAAAATTTGCACTTGTTTTAACCATCTTTGTTCATTATCATACTAAAATTAATAGGCCAACATAAATCGAACAATTCTAAAAATCGAGAATGTAAACTGATGACTCACACCAGAGATGCTGTTTTAAATGGGTGCCTGTCTCTTTAAGAGCATGCACTTGCAGCCATTTTCTGCTCTTTGTGTGGGGTGGATTAGCGGATAGAGACCGAACCCAGAGCATCAATTCTACTACACCGAGCAAACGCTATTTCACTCTGTTTCTCCCCGCTTTGCACTAACCGCCCGTTAGTTTGAGAGCGGACATGCAATTAGCAGGTAAGTTAGGTTCATGTGATTATTTTAAATGAATTACAGAGATGAGAGCGTTCACTCGACGAAGCGCGCAAGAGAGATGATGACACCAACCTGCGCGTGTAACGTTATTCCCCGAGCATGATGCTCAGTCATAATTTTACAGCAAAAAGGCTTGTATGTTTTTTTTGTTTGTTTGTTTGCTTTACATCAACAGCTATTATGTTCGCGTTTGTGGGCGTATTACACTAATTTGGTGAAGGTTTATTATGATGGAGGTGGTGATAGCATCTCTCCGCTATATGGGTGGGGTGAGGGGGGTGCGCGCACGTACTCACACATCTCATATGTGATCTAACGCGCGTTATCTTTATTTGTTTACATTAGTGAAAAATTAGATTACTTAACTGTCAGTGGAGTTTCATTCCATTAATAGCACATTTTGGGTGTTTTCATCCATTCTTTCCGCGAGCTGTCGAGCGTGCTTCTGGTGTCCAGTGACAGGGGGCTGTTGCTAGGATATAGCCTAGCCAACCGAACCGTTATTTTGACGCCTTTGATGATTAAGAATTGCTTTGTATGACATTATGACTGATTCTAGTCTATCCTTTCCTTGCATGGATGGTTTTTGCTCATGTTATTATTAAGGCCGCATATTTGGAGTTTTTATGCTGTAATTAATATGAGGTTTAGTGAACATGATGACCAATCTGTAATGTAATTTATAAGGGATCATTTACAGCCTCCCGGGCAAAATAAATGATATTGTGTGTTACATTATCCTGCTTAGTACACTGCTAGTTATGAAGTACAAAAACAAAAAAAACATGGGCATGAAATACTGATCTGATTTGAAAATATTTCGGTATTAGTTTGAACCTTCCGCTAAGAAAAATAGTCCATTACAACGTAACGTTAGACTACAATTGGCCAAGCAACAAGACGAACATTGCAGCAGTATTATAATAATACTTTATGTATTAATCAGCCATCCAAGTTAATATTCTCCATGTAGGCTACATATGCAGCTACAATGATCAGTTTCTCTCTCATCCTGCTGTTTATGTCTTTTACCGGATTCTGTTATTTGGCTTTCTTTAAAGATATCAGAGCTTCTAGCCATCTATCAAAGTTTTATTTGAAAAAAAAATTAAAACTGAACTCTTTCAAGGCCATTTTTACTACAGTCTGACCTGGTAATAATAACTATATTGAATCGCAAGAGGGCGCTGCGCTAGGCCGTGGAGTGATGCGAGAGATATGAATATAGCACCAGTATATTGCATGGTCAAATGTATTACAGAGAGAGCTGTGTAAAATCAGAAATACAATTTTGTCCAAATCTTAAAGCTGCAGTCCGGCGTTTTTCCTCTTTGTCGCCATCTCTGTTCGAAATCTCCAATTGCAGTCATTCGCGGAATTATCAACTTTACGTGAGTTGTACTTCAACGCCCTTCACACGGCACAGTGCGGATGAACACAATGTTTGAGGAGACTGTGAGGCTGTCAGTCACCGCGCCGGTGTGGATACTGCCATTCAGAATCACAGATTATGCTTTTTGGAATTATGACCAACATAAGAATTTTCACTGGAAAATGTCATCTGAACTAGTAAGAAACATCCACTTTTGTTCTGGTTCTGACATTGCAGTAAATCGCGCTGATTAAATCTAACAATCGCTTAGAAGTTATCATATCACGCAAAACCGTGCAAATTAGGGCTGTGTTGAAAAAATAGATTCACCAATTCTGAATCGATTTTCATATTAATTTCTAAAGATCGATCCGTAACTCAGAGGATCGATTTAATAATAGGCTTACATTTTCCCCGTGAACTTTAACTTGCCGCGACTGGGAGATCCCTGTATGCGCATTGAAAGCAGTAAGGGTAAAATCTTTCCGTGGCAGGGACAGCTGCCACCGAGACCTGTCACTCCACCCGTCACCGCTATTGGCAGCTGTCACTCCACCCGTCACCGCTATGTGCGCCTGCCACTCGACCTGTCACCGCTATGTGCGCCTGCCACTCGACCTGTCACCGCTATGTGCGCCTGCCACTCGACCTGTCACTGCTATTGGCAGCTGTCACTCCACCCGTCACCGCTATGTGCGCTTGCCACTCGACCTGTCACTGCTATGTGCGCCTGTCACTCCACCCGTCACCGCTATATGCGCCTGTCCCGCATGCCGTCACCGCTATATGCGCCTGTCCCGCGTCCAGTCACGGGTATGCACGCCCGTCCCGGCGTCCGCCACCGCTATATGCGCCTGTCCCGCGTTCTGTCACGGCTATACACGCCTGTCCCGCGGTCCGTCACCGCTATATGCGCCTGTCCCGCCTTCCGTCACCGCTACATGCGCCTTTCCCGCGCCCTGTCATGGGTATACACGCCTGTACCGCGACCCGTCACCGCTATATGCGCCTGTCCCGCGCACTGTCACGGCTACGTCCCGCTTTCCGTCAGGTCTATACGAGCCTGTCCCGCGACCCGTCACGGCTATACGCGCCTGTCCTGCGAGCCGTCACGGCTAAATGCACCTGTCATTCCACCCGTCACGGCTATACGAGCCTGTCCCTCGACCCGTCAGGTCTATACGAGCCTGTCCCGCGACTCGTCAGGTCTATATGCGCTTGTCCCGCGACCCGTCAGGTCTATACGAGCCTGTCCCGCGACCCGTCACGGGCACGGCTATGGTGTCTTTTTGTCATTAAATCTAACAATGTTTAGGCTAGATTTTTTTTTTAAACATGAATGTTAATGATAAACAGTTAGGCTATTATATTGCATTAAAGAGGCCATATT